CTTGGTTTTGAGGCTGATCTCGTTCCGGCGCCATAGGGTGGTTCGGAGCTGCAGAAATGCCGTTCGGGCCGTATCGATGCGCCGCTTTACATCATCTTTGGCTTGTCCATTGGGTAGGATGGTGGACCCCAGGTACTTGAATTCCGATACGATTTCTATTGTCTGACCATCCAGTTGCAGAGGATGTTCCGCTTGATTAGATGGAGTAGCGAACATCTTGGTTTTGTTGGGATTAATCTCAAGGCCGATGTCAGAGGCAAATCTTTTGATACGGTTGAGAGCTGTTTGCAAGGCGGTCAGGTCCTCTCCAAGCACTATCATGTCATCGGCGAATTCGAGGTCAGTAATCCAGCAATCCGCGGAAACTTGGACGCCTTGGTAACCTTCCATTGCCCGACGCAGAATCCAATCAACGGCGAAGTTGAACAACACTGGAGATAGCGGGCATCCTTGTCTTACTCCTGACCTCGGATCGAAGGGATGAGACTCTTCGCCGTATGCACGGATACGAGATTTGATTAGTGTAATACGATCTCACTATGTTGATCAACTTTGCAGGGACGCCATCTGCAAACATCATCTTCCACAATGACTCGCGGTCCACTGAATCGAATGCGATGACAGACTGATGTCAATTGGCAGTATTTGCCCAGGTGAAGCAGGTATAGGGAGCTCTTGTATCGATGAGGACCAGCTGGACTGTGCATAAAATTGTGCTACCCCACGGTCAAGACGACGTTGCTAAACATGAATCAGTTTGCCGCAAGAATCCTTAACTACGTTACTTGCGCCTACTTTCCTTGGACCCGTACCTCGAATGAAAAAGATTGCGACTATTACCGATAGCTGCAGCCTTCTCCATCTCTCTACACTTCCCTACCCACTACTTCTCGCGGTCATTCCTCAGACTCTTGATGAGCTGGTGCTTAGGGGATTTGTTATTACACACCTAAATGTGAACAGCAGACGGGGTGAATCCCATAGTCACGAGGACTTGCTGTTCAGTGGTGGAAACTGGTAACATAAGCCCCGGGATGTGGAGTGGCGAGCCACATAAGGCCCCGATAGTTTAGGCGTGGTATTGAACCGGACGACAGCAGAGCTGCCTACCCCCAAAGTCGAGTGGTAGGGCTTGAACCTCGGACCATCGCGTCTAAAGCACACCGGTGACAGCGACTAAACCACTGCGCCACCACCACCCATTTTGATCGCTTCCTTGATTAACGTCCAGTGTTCGCTGAGCCCTCCGTCTGATGGCTCAGCTGAGGCGATCAGAAAGTTCTGCTTCGAAGGCCGATTTACAACCATTCCTGACACTGTATTGAGAGTATTTGTTTTCAGTGGTTTTTCTGCGATTGTCTACTAGACGTAGGGAGAATCTGGCTCGTAGCACAGCATGGTCCGTGTCCACATGTGTTTTTCAGTGTGAGCGACTATCTTCAATGGATCCACACGAGCGTTGGCTGATGGTAGTGTCGTCAATTTCAGTCCAACGAAGTGAAGAGGTCGGCGGTTTCTATGTAAGACGGTGTTGTTTCTTGTGCGAGTTGGTGCTTGATAGAATCAGTCCGTGGTTAGCGCAGTTGCAGTAGACGTTAGATGGAATAGCATGTGAACCACTAAGCATCCTTTCTGATTCATTCATGGACCCCACTTGGGCATTGAAGTCTCCAGCGACTATCACGATGTGCGTTGACCGTGCACTTCGGACCAGTTGAGAGAGGTCCTTGTAGGATTCGTCCTTCATTTCTGGCGAACTGCAACCAGTTGGTGTATACACGGATACTTCAGGGTGGGGCATTCAAGGTCGATTATCGACAAATTCTGCTGTGAAGCTTCACGGGGACGGTCACAGTCCTTTGACCTCCCACTAAATATCGGCAAACGAATGCACCTTGGTCTGAAAACCTTACAGTTCAGCTATTTCGAAATCCAGATAACTCTCCTGCAATTCAGATCACTGAGAACTTGACGGACATAGGGATGCTTGTAAATATCCCCAGAACTTGATACCGTCATGTTTTGGAGCTGACAGCCAGGCTTCGTACCAGACGCATCGAACGGTCGCATGCAGGCTCCCAATCGTACAGCTAAGATTGAATAAGCAGTTCGTACTACCCCAGCTGTAGTAGTGAGTGCAAACTAGAATCGCTTACATAAACACCCTCGAAAATTTACAATCAAGTGCTGAAGTTTTGGAATACTGGTCAGTCGAAGGTCACTTGCGCAATAACCTGGACTTGTTGACTCCAGGCGGAAAGAGTACGGAACCTCAAACTATTTTTGCTGATATGTCAGATTCCAAGGGATCTAACAGAGACTAGAAGGGACTGCTCTGGAATCTACCTAGAGGACTCTCTCGTTCACGCCTGTATATACACCTGGGGTCATGAGTACAAGCAGATGAGGAAGTAGGTGTGTGCGGTCAAAATTCTTCAGCAATAGAATCGTTGACAGGTGGAATGGTCTGACCTATGAAATAATATGCGGGCTTCCGAAATGGCGCCTGACAAGAAGTTGATAGCTCTGTTCCCCGAAGTAGATTTCTGAGCAGGATATGGGAAGCTTAATAATGGACTGCATCATGGAATTATGACAGCCTTGAGACTACCCATTCAGCCTTCCTTTTTGAGGGCAGGATATCAGTGTAAGCCCCATCACCACTGGGTTGAAGGTCCGATCACATGTGGTCATCCAAACGCTGCTTTCAAGCAGCGTCTCTGTCTGTAGTAGTAAATGCTACTGCAACTCCGGACCCAAATGATCCCTCAAAATTTAAATGCGATGGAAATCTTTGTGATAGTCGACAAAGAGCACTGGACAGCTGGTTCGTCCTGTTCGAAACTGGCCAGCAGTGCGTACTGGTGGGGAATTAACGACTTCCTAAGGAGTGAAACACATACCTAGGATTATTAACCGGTGAACGACTTGCTCTCACGGTTGAACTCACCTTGCCTGCTCTACATGAAACTGTGGAGTTATAAGAGCACCGGAGGACCACACCCTCCAAGAGGACTTGAACAGACTACTCCACTGGACAGATGTCTGGGAATACCCAGTCAATTCGGCGAAATGCGCACACATGCGCCAGGGACAGGAGATACTGGACCTACCTTTCCAGATGAATAACGTCTCGCTGCGTCAGACGGCAACCGAGCTGGGTCTAGGAGTCATGATCTCTCCATCCATGAAGACGCAGATGAACACCGTGCGAATGTCCTGAGACAAGGAGAATACTAGGCGCATAACTTCCGAAATGGCCAACTTGAAACGAGTATAGCACTAAGCAACTCGATTAGTCACGGGATTTCGTGGGATCAGCTATGAAGGTCGGCTACAAGCACTAGGGCTCTTACCGGTTAGCTACTCCGCGGGGAATTCATCTACTTGAGGAAGACCCTTCGTGTTGATCTGGGATCGGAGCTACGTGCTGTTTCCACTACGGGACTACGACCACAGGCTCACTCTCCGGAAGCTGGAGTCCACGGGACTTCCTTTAGTTTATCGCCTTTCCCGGAGGGTGACCACTGTCTGGAATTCACTCCCATCGGTGGTGAACGAGCAGAACGAAGCGCTATTCAAACGTCTCGACGAGCACTTGGTGAGACGGTGGTAACTTGCAGACAGGTGAGCGGGTCGCTGCCGGTACCGGCGCTGAAGAGGATCATACGGAGAGAGGCCCCTCTGCCTTCTATACACGAAGATGAAGACTGGTCAGTTCACATGCCATGCAGGGGTATTTCGCAGCGCTACCATACTCAGGTTTTGGTTTAATAGAGGAAGTGTACATCAGTCTGAAAACACCCGTGATAAGTCGACGAAAAAGGTTTCACAATGAGTCCCAGAACGCTCAGTATTATCAAGTTACATTTAGCGGGTTTGTAAGGAACCTGATACTGCATATTAACACTGCCTTATGGAAAGAACTCTTGACTCGGAGTGCCGGAAGCCAATGAAACTGGACAACACAAGGAACTGGACGCAAGATTGGCAAGAGCCACAATTAACTGAACAGACTAGTCTTTAACAAAAGAAATATAAAACATCGGGACATATATTTGATTCCGCGATATCGCTCATAATAGATACATATCACTAAGGATTTAGTTTTAAATGCAACTCTATTATTACATCTTAGGGTGCATTAATAGATCGTGTCAAGTTCCTATGTAAGTTATGATAACTGTCATACATACCTTCCAGAAAATCACAAAATTGAGGATCATGATGAGTTTCAGCAACCGTATGAAGTTCATGGAGACTTTTGTAAACCGATTTTTCTAATTCAAGGGCCGCTTCCATAGCCTCCAAACCGGTGCTCCAGTAATTCGTCTCCGGAGGGACAATGTTTTGTAAAACAATTCGACCACCACGTTTGTTTTGATATTCCATAAGCTGTACAATAGTGGTATGAAAAAACATTACCTTCATAGCATGTTCTCTTTCTTCCTCAGACTGTTTGAGGAAAAATTTATGAAATCCTGGAAGAGCAACATCGTCCCGTGAGAAATTGTAAGCCATTGCCATATACACGTAACTCGCATGAAGTTCAAGGTTTATTTGCTTATTTATGCCAGCTTCACATTCCACATGAAATAATTGACGGCACAAAGATGCCATCGCGATAACTCAAATAGGCTGGAATCGACGGAAATTAGTGGCGCGTCCCAGTTTGAACGAAAGTCCACGAAGATCAGCTCAGTTCAAGTTTCAGGTTAGGTCGGGTCAAGTTGCACAGGACAGGACAGGACAGATCACAGAACTTGCGGCGGAGCCATAAGC